CTTTGTCTTGGAAAAAAATTTTTGGAGCAACTTCATAACTCTAATTTGATTGGAATCAGCTTAAACTTGGTACACAACATAAGAACATGCATATGCATCAGGAAAACAGCATATTCAAAGCCCATAGCTACTGTAACATTAAAGTTACTTACCATCAGTGAAGTTGAGTGGTATGCTGTAATCCTCAGAATCAAATGATGACAATATGTGATTAGTCCCTGACTGTAACACACACAGCAGCTGGAATCCAAGACATGTGCCCCATAATGGGAAATAATCTCCTTCATCATTAGCCTATGGATATCATAATGTTAACAAATTAACCCTTTAGTCCATAAAAATAAAGATTGTTTAATTAATTTTTGCTGGTTAGAACATAAAAATAGGATAAATTGTTACTAATTTTTGCTGGCTAATGTAGCATTTTCTCTTTGTGTCTATACTTGTATTTCAAACCTGTTTAGCAAGTTCAAATATTGTTTTGGCTACTTCAAGATAAGCTGATTCCACCAGTGAACTACCGCCCCCAGGAAAGAGAACCCTATTAATAATAATAATTAACACCTTTAATGAGCCACACCTACCCATTAATGGATCCGAACAAATCCTTCAGTTCATCTTGTGTTATATTATTACTTGTTAATGATCATGGTCAAGGAAAAGTATAAGGAGGAGCATGAGAAAAGTGAAAAGGTTATTATGTTAGAAGGAGGGGACACTAATGTATAGTCTACACATAGATAGTTGAGTCTACTATCTATGGTCTACATGATGTGAACACAACATCTTATTGTAGTTAGACATAACGAAACAATTCCCATTATTATAATACAATGTATACATAATAGGAACAACACGAGCTCCTGCAGACTCTATATACTTAACATAAGATGCTGCAATGTATGAATGACCTTCAGTAGTAGTCTCTGATACAATACCTATTGTATGTATATATGAAGGAAGGTGATTATGCAAATGACACAGTTAATGTTTACCAATTATTGGCCTCAAATTGAGTGATAAGGAATAGCTCACAATCAGAGAGCAAAGAAACAGAAAAGAGATGAACTTCATTTCTGCTGACTGCACAAAATAACCACCTAATTTAATATTCATTGGATTTAAATGAATATTAATCATTAGTTGCTGTTGCTTCTACATAGTAAACAACAGTTGCAACATACAAAAAAATTGTCAATCACAAGAGAGCAGTTCAACAACTCCTAGTTATCTTATATGGTAGTAGTTGTACTACTGTCAAAACAATTAGACTTGGCCCATTATTTCTGAGGAAGATGTTGATGTCAAGATGCCTCCTTTTTGTGTTGGCACTGATTACAATAGCTGTGGATGGAGCTGGTAATTGCCAGATGATTCATTATTTCATTTATTAATTATTTGTAGTAATAACAGTGCCTCTTGAATCGGCAACTATTGCTCCATATGCTACAGCAACATTTACTTGTGAAGGAACTGGTGATCTACTTGCATGGACTGTGCAGGGTAATTCTCTTGATGCAACTCTTAAACAGCAAAGAAACATATCAGTTACTGATCTCAGCAGCTCTGGAAACTTATCATCAGTACTTACTATTGTTGGGTTACCTGATAATGATGGGATTGGGATTGCTTGTCAGATACTGTCATATCCACCTTTTAAACAAGTATTCTCGGGTGCTACACTAACAATAAGAGGTGGCTA